CAGACCCCTGTCTTGCTGTCACCTTTCGTGTCTCTTGTCCCTTCATTCCTCCCCATCTAGGTTCACTGCCCACGTTGATGTGTTCTGCCGGTCGGGACATAAGATGGTATTTATTCCATTATCTTTCTCCCTCTTGGTTTCTGATGAAAATTCAGGTATCATTTATGTGATAATTATTAATGTGTTCTTTTTATTAGCTGCTTTTAATATTTTTATATTTTTAAAATCAGTTTTATGTGATCTGTGTTACTTTATGTTTATTGGGATTCATTGGGTTTCTTATATTTAAGTTATACACCAAATTTGGGAAGCATTAGACCATTAATTTTTCAAATTCGTTTCTAACTCCATTATAGCTCCTGTTTATTTCTTGGAGTTCAATTGTATATGTTGTATTACTTGGTATTATCCTATAGGTTACTAAAGTTCTATTTATCTTTCACCTCATTTTCCCTCTATTCTTCATATTAGGTAATTTATAATAATCTGTCTTCATGTTCACTGACCTTTTCTCTTCCCTCTCCAATCTGTTATGGTTGTTTTTAAAAATTATAAATATTATTCTAGAGGATTCACTGGATTCTTTTTATAACTTCTATTTCTATGATGAGATTCTTCAGCTTTTTATTCATTATGACTGTTTTCTTCTAAGTCTTTGAACATATTGATACATTTAGTAATTTTATTGTTTGCTAATTGCAACATCTATGTCATGTTCATTTATCTTCTATTTATTGATTATTCTCTGGACCATGGCCCACATTTTCTTATTTTTTGCATTCTAATAAATTTTATTCTATTCTTGGCTTTAAATATGATATTTATAGCTAGCCTGCATTATGCTGAAGCCAGATTTAAAGTTAGGTAGTCAGTGTAGTTAGGTAAATCGGGTCTAATATCGAGTGAAATCTAAAATGGAGGCCATGCTGAGGATGATTCCAGGAAACGCAGGACAACTCATGGAATGTTAATGAAGTCCAGGAAAGGCCCTAGGCCAAAGTCCACTCCAAAGAAATGTTAATGGAGCCCAGGAAACAGCCCCCAGCAGATTTGGAGATAGCCTATCACAAAGAAGTGTTAATGAAGTTCTTCCTGCCCAGATTACTTTTTTGGCCCACCTGTGTCCCACCCCTCGAGCCTTCCAATCTACATTCCATCACTGAAAGAACTATAAAAAGGGGAGACAATAGCCCTTCCAAGGATTCCACCTCTTGGGTCCCCTTCTTCCTCCGGGAGAAGTCTTTTCTGCTGTCCTTTAATAAACTTCTAATTTCTACTCTGACCTTGCCTCGTGTGCTTTTCTGGTGTTATTCTTCAACATTGGGGAAGCAGGACTCGTCACCAGTCAACAGCGGTAACAAAGCCTTTTTCCTTTTTGAAATAAAATTTCTATTTGGGGCTAATTTCAGACTTACAGAAATGTTTTAAATATATTACAGAGCATTCCTTTATACTCTTTATGCCATATTTCTTGATGTTAACATCTTAAATAATCACTGCACTGTCAAAAGTAAAAAATTAACATTGTTACATTATTATACCTAAATTCCAGACCTCATTTGAATGTCACCAGTTTTCCACTAATGTCCTTTTTCCATTATAGGATCCAATCCAGGATACCATATTGCATTTATTTATCTTGTTACTCATTCTAAACTGTTCTATAACTGTTTATCAGTGTTTTCTCATTTTTCATTATCTTGATATAGTTGATAAGTAATGGGCATGTATTTAATAGAATCCTCCTCAATTTAGAGTTATTTCATTTTTTTCTTGATATTTCACTGGGGTTTTTGGTTTTGGGGAAAATACCTAATAACTAGGTATCCTCATTGTGTCATATTTGGGGGTATATGATATCACCAAGATTCATCATTGGTGGTTCAGATGTTCATGTGGTTCGGGTACTATTTACCAGGTTTCTCTTCAGTAGAGTCACTCTTTGCCTCTACCTGTTTTGCTCTGTGGAAGCAGGTATTTAAGTCTTGGCCACACTCAAAAGGAGGGGAATAATATTCTACATACTGAAGGGATAGTATCTACATATATTATTTGAAATCTTTGGTAAGAAAAATTTATTACTTCTTCCTCATTTATTAAATCAATATGGATTCAAAGTCTTTTTTTCTTTGAGTTATAATTCAATATGAATTATTATTGTGTGATTCAAATTGTTCTATTGGGAATTTTTTTGGGGTTAGTTATGTGTCCTGGTATGCCTTCAATTAAAAAAAAAAAAACTTTCTTATTTTCTAATACTAAAAGACTTTAAGAGGCTCCAAGCTCATTTTGAGTTTTGTCTGCCCTAGCCCTAGAATTAGTCATTTCTTCAAGGAAACTCTGGCTCTTGTGTTGCCTTCCTTTTATTTTTTCCCACAACCATTTTTAAGCATACAGATCAGTAATGTTAAGTACTATTGTGGACTAAATGTTTGTGTCCCCCGAAAAATACATATATTTTGAAACCCTAACCTCCAATATGAGTGTTTTCCAAAATGGGGCCTTTAAACAAGTTATTAAAATTAAATGAGGTCAAATTTGATCTGATAGGTTAGTGTTTTATAAGAAGATATACCAGGCTCGGGTTGTGTGGCTCAGGGGTGAGCGCTTACCTACCAAGTGTGAGGCCCTGGGTTCAATCCTCAGCACCACATAAAAATAAATAAATAAAATAAAGGTATTGTGTCCAACTACAACTAAAAACATAAATAAAAAATTGTGTACACTATCCTGTGTACACAATGAGGAAAGGACATTTGAGAATATACCAAGAAGCCTGCAATTCAAGGGGGGAGCCCCTCACCAGACACTACCCCTGCTGACACATTGATCTTGGACTTAAAGTCTCAGAACTGTGAGAAAATAAATTTCTGTTGCTTAAATCTGCTACTATGTGGTATTTTGTTATGGCAGCCTTAGAAGGCTAATACAAGTAAGTTTCAAATATGCAACACATCTGAACTTTTTGTCTTGCAAAGCTGAAACCTTTTTTTTTTTTTTTTTTTTTTTTTTAGTATATTTTCTAGTAGTCAGTGGAGATATATATATACTGAGAATTGAACCAGGGCCTCACACGTGCTAGGCAAGTGCTCTACTACTGAGCCACAACACCAGGCCCTTTCCCTCCCCAAAACTGAAACCTTATATGCATTGAATAAATTTCCTTTCTCCCTTCTTCCCAGTTCCTGTCAAACATCTTTTGTTTATGTTCCCTTCCTTTTAAGGGCATCAAAATTTGTTCTTGTAAGCAGTCAAATTACTATCTTTTTGATACTGTCAGGCTTTTTTTGTTTGTTTGTTACTGCTGCTAAGAAATGCATGTTTGTTCTGGCTGTTTAGCCTTTGATTCTGAGGGAGGCCCTCTCCACTAGGGCTTGCATTGTTTTAACTTATATGAGCTGGATTCCCCCCACCCCCACCACCACCACGTATTGAATCCAGAGCCTCACAAACTCCAGGTAAATGATCTACCACTGAGACACATCTCCAACCCTCAGTCTTAGCCTGAGCATGCAACTTAGCTCTTAGCCACGAACCTGTGGTTAGTTTTCATGCAGTCTCCTAGGACCCTCTCTCTCTGTGCAGCTCTCCCTTGTTGGTTTTCCTGCTCTACAAATTCCAGCCACTTAAGCAGCTCATAACTCCAATCTCTGCCCCTTTAGTTTAATGAGACTACTGTTCTGTTTAGGATTTGTTTTCCTGTCTGTGCCAGAAAGTGCCTCTATGCAGGAAACTATGATGATGCACTGTAGCACTTGCATTTGGGTTTCTCTTGAGGATCACAATGCAGCCTCTTTGTGCTAGTGTGTATATTTGCATGTGTAATTTTTTGGTTGGACAGCAAGTTCAATACCACTCTGTTGTGACTAGAAGCAGAACTCTATTCATTTTTATCAATATGCTATCCTTGTTTCTCTTCTTCTTTTCTACTAACTTTATGCACTTTCATTTGGTGATCTTATCTATTCTTAAGAGTTTCAATTTCTGTTTTTCTTTAAAAAAAATTTTTTAGGTGTAATTGGACACAATACATTTATTTTTTATTTATTTATTTTTATGTGATGTTGAGTATGGCAAGCACTCTACTGCTGAGCCACAACCCAAGCCAGCCCCCAATTTCTGTTTTCTTACTTTGGTTTTTTTTTTTTTTTTTTTGGTGTGTGTGTGTGTGTGGTGCTGGGATTGAACCCAGGGCCTTGTGCATGTGAGGCAAGCCCTCTACCAACTGAGCTATATCCCCAGCCTACTTTAATTTTTTAGTAAACTTTCATTACTAGAAATAAATTACTAACACTTTTGTATGTATTTGTTTAATTTGCTCTTCTTTATGTTTGTCTTTTCTTATAAAAATAAGACAACAGGGAGAACAAAATTAATGGAATTTCTGACAGTCTGAAGAATAGAGGTTAGAGCACACCTGGAAGAATATTTTGGGGAAGATAGGAGTATGTCATATTCACAAAACATACCTGGGAAATAGGTTTTTTTTCCCCCTGTGATTATAGGCACATTCAGCTAACAGTCCAATTCTCTGTCATTTATCACTACCCACATGTATAAGAAATGGTGAAATCAGTCCTGTTTGGCATATGTCTATTTTCTCAGAAGAAAACAGTAGAGGAAAAAATCTTAGAAAAATGCTAGGAACCACTCTCATTTTTATTCTAGGGTCCATAATAAAAATTGCTGAATATGAGAACCATTTTTGCTTGCTCTATAGAGTTAGGTGAGATTGAGAGTCAATTTAATATGGATACAATGAGCATCTAGAGAGTGTGGTGGAGCAAAAAAAATGTTTTTGTTTTTGTTTTTGTTTTACAATTTAGAATGTTAATTTCTATAGGAAGCCCCAGAATTTGAATCATTTCCTGAAAAATTACTTCTGTTTTGTCAAGTTTCCTGCTACCAGTTTAGTTACTAGGCTATTTCCTTACTGACAGGTCTTCTCATACTTCTATAATTTAACTCTCTTAACTCAATGTGAAAGATATTAGGTGGAGATGACTGACAGTGCTATTTATTCCATGTTAGAGTTGCCTACCACAGCACAAGCCGAGAATGACTACAGATCACAGCAAAAAGGTGAGTTAACCAAGTTAGCTTGGAAGCTGTGTGTAGTGACTCTAGACCATAGATTAATAAGAAGTAGAATAATTTTGGAGTAGAGGGTACAGAAAAATTGAGGATAATCTGAAGAAAAACTTTGGGTTCAGTCTGAAGTCATGAATTGGAGTATGGAAATTTGGTATATGGTATGGAATATGTTAGTAGTTCTCAGATAAACTTTTTTCTAACCATTTACTTCTATTATCACATCTAATGCCTAGCTAGGACAATGCATTATTTTTTTTTTTTTAATTGCCTCTGAACTAAAGCAAGAACTGTATTGGGAAAAGTTTCTCTCTTTAATCATGTTTGGAGTAAACTTGGACCAGCTATTTAATTTCTAAACATGTTGTTTTTATATGAAATGAGGAAGAGACCAATAATTTTGCTAATTGGTAATGGTAAGATTTTGTAGGTGTTTTTTCCCCTCATTCTAGTATAGTACCAGAATGGTAATGAGGGATGAAAAGGTGAGAACACTACAGATAAGCAGTCCCTGTGGATGTTGAGTGCAAACAAAGAAACAAACAACCCTCCTTTCCCCCCTCCCCCCCCCGCCAAAAACAAACAAACAAACAAAAAAAACCTTTATGTAGAATCCTGACAGAACACTATCTCAGACAGACAGATAATAGGGTAAATGCCAAAATTAATATTTGATTTTATATATTAAGCAGATAAGTTCCAGAAGAATATATTCTTTAGTGTAGTTCTTTAAGCTTTCTTATTGCTACATAGTCTTATTGATAATGATTTTTAATGTTGTCTGTCAAAAGCATTGCCAAGGGCTGGGGATGTGGCTCAAGCAGTAGCGCGCTCGCCTGGCATGCGCAGGATGCTGGGTTCAATCCTTAACACCACATAAAAATAAAATAAAGATGTTGTGTCCACCGAAAACTAAAAAAATAATTATTAAAAAATTCTCTCTCTCTCTCTTAAAAAAAAAAAAGCATTTCCAAAATATGCTAAATCACTCCCATATACTTGGGCAGTTAGATTTATTTTTATTGCTATAATTATATAGCACATTTTATTTGTATATTCTTTTCCTTCTTTGGGATTATATCTGTGCTAATTTCTAAGGACTAGAAATATTAATATACATCTTGAAGTATAAGTTCAATTTATCATATAACTGGTGATAAATTGGAACTTAATAGTTGGAACTAGTATAATATAATATGTAATTAATATAAATTAAGAAATCTATTTTATTTCTCAAATTGGATGGTGTTGTACAACAAAATATAATTATGTTTTGATAAAATTTTATCATTTAACATAACATCTAAAATGAATGTTTATTTCATTAAATGTTCTTGTATGGTTCAAATGTATTTTAAAAAAATTTTTTTAGTTGTAGATGAACCTTTATTTTATTTATATACGGTGCTGAGAATTGAATCCAGTGCCTCACACATACTAGGCAAGTGCTCTACCACTGATCCACAACCCCAGTCCTACAAATCTATTTTTTTATGTCACTAGAAATCTAGTGTTTCTGGATTCATCAGTCAAAATATTTGTCATGTGGAATTCTCTCTTTCTAAAGGCATCTCTCTCTGTGAATTTCTTTTAAGCAATTCAGAACAGTTCATAGATACGCATATATACAGAATAATTTATCTAAAATTTAAACAGAAAAATGAGGTACAAATGGGCAAAATTGATTTCCTAATTAAAGGTTTATCAAATAAAGGAGTCAAAACTAGAAGTTGAATGTCTTAAGTTTACATAATTTTACTCTTTACATGTAATTCCTACAGTATCTGACTATGAGACACCTACGATTTTGAAATAAAAAGTTTTGGGGAAAATACTTCCACTTTTCAAACTGAAAGATCATTCTTAGATATAAGTTGTATGCAGCATAGTTAATATGAAGTAATGTTTCATCTTTGAGCATTCTTTTTTTCTTTTCATCTTTAAACATTCTGTCAACCTAAACTCACGGTGCTTCCAATAATGGGAGTTTACAAAGCAAAAGGCATTTTTTTCATTCACTTCTGAGATGCAAGTTATTTTATTTTTGTTTAAATTTTGTTTATTTAAATATTGAGTAGCTAATACATTCACATGGTTCAAAATTCAAAAGGTACAAAAGAAAATAAGGTAAAAAGTCTCTGTCCTATCTCTATCCCTCCCCATTTGTCTTCTCCAGAGGCAAACAACATATCAGATTCTTGCACAAATCTTAGTACATCCTGTTCAGGGAATGATTCTTTATTGTTGTTTTTTTGGTTTGTTTGTTTTTGAGAAAGGGTTTCAATATGTTGCCCAGGCTGGTCTCAAATTTGTGATCCTCCTGACACAGCCTCCAGAATAGCTGGGATTAAAGCATGTGTCACAGCTCCTGGCTTAGAATTCTTTCCCATAACTATAYATTTTAAGAATCACTCCTTATCAGCAACAAATAAACAAAACACCCCAAATATTCTGTTGTTAGAAGCTGCAAACACACTTTAGGGGAATATCAAAATATATATGGCCTTTTAAAATATTAATCTTTTAGTTTTAAGTGGACACAATATTTTTATTTTATTTTTTATGTGGTGCTGAGTATAGAACCCAATGCTTCATGCATGCTAGGTGAACACTCTACCACTGAGCTACAACCCCAGCCCTGTATTTGGTCTTTTATTGATTGGCATTTAGGTTGTATTAAATTTTTTCATCCCACAAAGATAACTGCCATGAATAGCCTTGTAAATATGACATTTTGCACATGTTCACGTATCTATAGAAAAATTTTCTTAAAGAGAAATTGCTGGGCTGAAGGGTAAATACCTTTGCAATTTTGGTAAATATTGCCAAATTTTCCTTCAACCTTTAAAGAGGTTATACCAGCTTGTATTCTCACYACCAAAGTATAAGAACAAGTAAGCCACAATTTCAAAGGAAAAAAAGTTTTCTTTAACTTCGTAAAAAAGTATCTTGAAACAGGTGTTTGTGGTACTTTAGACTTTAAAGCAAGTCCCTGAGAGATTCAGGAAAGAAATCTTTTTTTTTTTTTTAAATTGGTACATTATATTTGCTCATAATAGTTGGATTTGTTGTTTTATATTCGTACATGCACACAATAAAGCAATATAATTTGGTTAATATCATTCCCCCAACCCCACCCTTCTTTTCCTTTTTCCTTTCTAGCTTCTACATTTGAGAGAAAATATATGACCCTTGACTTTCTGAGTTTGGTTTATTCAGAAAAGAAATCTTCATGCCCTGTGTCTTAGTTCCCACTAGACCCAGTTGCTTCAAGATCCCATATACAATTCCCTTATCTTTCTTCTGAGAATTTTGTGTTGGATTCTGTTTTTGTAGCTTCTTCCAGGCCTTCTCTTGCTTGCCTTGTGGCCATAGCTCTGGGGCTTCTGAATGCAATTCTTATGAGTTTACTGCTATACCAATGGATTCAGTGCCAGGGTAAGTGCTAATTTAAGGTAAAATTAATCTTTCATTTTATCCATTTTACATTATAAAATTGGTATAACATTTGAAAAATGAAAAATAATTCAAATAAAATAAGTTGCCAACTGTATACAACTACTTCCTAAGTGTAGCCTCCTCATTTTTGATTATATGCATTTATATGAGTGTTTATTCTCTTAACAATATTGCAAACAAGTCTTTTTAAAATCTCTCCAATCCTCCCCACCCCAAAACAAGGCTTGGAATAGTTTTGACCATAGAATACTTATAATGTTGTATATTGTTTTTTGGTTTTCCATATTGTGTCATAATAGTTTCCTACTTATTACCACATTTATCATATTTAAATTATAGTATTTATGGTCTTTAACCACTCACATAAGCATTTGGTTGCTTTCATATTTTCTAAAACTAGTTTTCCAAGACTTAGTTCTTTAAGGTCCTTAAATCTTATGATTCAGAGGACTGAGTTTATTTTTTCACAATTAGGTTCCTAACTTAGGTTTATGTAATGGGGGATAATTAATGACTGATTACATAGAACTTATTCATTAGGATTCTAAGGGTTCAGCCTCAGGACTCTACCTCACACCAAGTCCTACTTCAACAAAACAGATGGGAAATTTTTGATACAAAGTGGGTCATGATTGTACAGAAAAAGCACAGATCTATAAGGTGCCAATTTAATAGTTTGATGTGCTGAACTCTCTATTGGTCCCATGTCAGGCCTTTCCATAGAGAGTTACCTAATCTTCATAGGAGAAGGGCTACTTACTGTACTCTTAAACTCTTAAATCTGGAGTAGATATGTGAGTTATTCTGCTATTATTATTATTATTATGCTAGAGATCAAATCTAGAGCCTTGCAAGCACTCTGCCACTGAACTACATCCACAGTCATCTGTTCTGCAATCATATATCTACACATATGCTTATGTGATAAAATGACACATGCTTGCTCATTGTAGAATTGTGCTTATATGATGAGTTTTTTCAAATATGTTTCATGGAAGTAGAAAATCAATAAATTATGGAATCTTGTCTGAGATTATCTTGAAAGCTTATTCACTTCTCATATTTTTCACACTTTTAAATTGGTACATTTTAGTTGTACATAATGAGGACTTGTTGTTACATGAACACAATATAATAATATGACTTGGCCAATATCACTCTCCCTCTTATTTTTTTAAATATATTTTTTAGTTGTTGATGTACCTTTATTTTTTATTTATTTATATGTGGTGCTGAGGATCAAACGCAGTGCCTCACACATGCTAGGCAAGCGCTCTACCACTGGGCCACAACCTCAGCCCTCCCTCTTATTTTTAAAAGAACTATAATCTAATCATTTTAAAGGAATGATGATTGTCTATTTAAAAGAACTCAGGAAAATTCTATGCTTTTCACTTTAGCATTAGATATGTAACATTAGATATGTTTCTCTGTTAGAATTTCTTTCTTTCTTTTTTTGTAGTACTAGGGATTAAACCTAGGATCTGGTACAAGCTAGGTAAGTGCTCTACCACTGAGCAACATCCCAGCTCTTTTTATTTTTATTCTGAGATAGGGTTTTGCTAAATTGCCAGGTTGGTTTTGAACTTGTGATTTTCCTGCCTCTGTCTACTGAGTAGGTGGGATTGCAGGTGTGCACTGTTGCACCTAGCAGAAAAAAAGTTTGAATACCTACAGTAAATCAGTTGTGCAGAAGTGTAAGTATTTTGTTAAGTTTCTATTGGTGACAGTCATTTTTTTTTTTTTTTTGGTATCGGGGATTGAACTCAGGGGCACTCAACCACTGAGCCACATTCCCAGCCCTGTTTTGTATTTTATTTTGAGACGGGGTTTCACTGAGTTGCTTAGCACCTCACTTTTACTGAGGCTGGCTTTAAACTTTCGATCCTCCTTACTCAGCCTCCTGAGCCACTGGGATTATAGGTGTGCACCACCGTGCCCAGCTGACAATCTTTAATAATCAACCTTTCATTCTAGTTGTTTGTTCTTTCTAGTTTCTTTCCTTTTTTTAATACACCATATGGGGTATCATGTTGACATTGGATATCCTGAATGATTCTGCCTGATTTAAGAATGTACATTATGAAGTTATACAATGTATGTGTCAAACATAAACAGTAAACAGATATGCATCATGCAAATACAGATTTATTTTATCTGGTAAATATATATCACATGTGCATAGAGGTCTCTGGTGTGAATAATATGCTCTCCACAGTCCCAGGCATGTGTACTACTTTTTCTTTTCTGCTCTTCACAGGCACATCCTTGCCTGGTGAAGAGAAGGCTAGTGGTGTGAAGCATTGTGTTTGAGGCCACACATTATTACGCATTTCTCTAAACCTCAATCTGAAGGTGGTGGGACAAGGAAGACACTGAGAATGCCATATTTCCTTTTATCGTCCTTTTCATTTCCAAATCTATTTGTTCCATAAAGATATGAACCAGATCTTCTTCCTTTCTAGGGTCCAACTGCTTTACTTGTGCCAGCTGTCCTAGCTGCCCAGATCTCTGGATGAGACATGGTAACCATTGTTATTATTTTTCAATGAAGAAAATGGACTGGAATTCTAGTCTGCACTTCTGTTTAGCTGAAGACTCAGATCTCCTGATGATAACGGACAACCAGGAAATGGTAAATACAAACATTTAGAAAATGTAGTTTTTATTTTTTAATGATCGCTGTTCAAATGTGCCAAGCATCTTCTTTAAGCAGCAAAAGGAGCCTGTGATCTTGGGGGGAGGCTGTATTCTTCCCTTTCCCTCTCCTCCTCTTGTTTTCTCCAGCTCCACTCTTGCCTTTTCCCGTCTCCTTCCCTACTCCTTAACCACTATCTGATCTAATTACCCCCAGATATAGCAACCAGGTGCTGTGTAGGCATGTATGTGTATGTGTGTGAGTGTTGGAGGTGACAGAATTGGGAGTATTACAGAAAGGAAATAGAACTGAAGTCCAGGTCTAATTAAAACAAGCATCTGGGCCTGTAGGTTCAGTGATCTCGTGTTTGAGGTGGGCAGATCATTTGAGCCTTGGAATTTGAGTACAACTGGGCAACATAGTGAGACCCTGTATCAAAAAGAAAAAGGAAAACACATACACACACACAAAAAAAAAAAAAAAAAAAAGAAAGAGAGAGAGAAAGAAAGAAGAAAAAAAAAAGAAAGAAAAAAGGAAAAGGAAAAAAAAAGGGAGAAAAAGATTTGTGCATGGTAGTGCTTGCCTGTAATCCCAGTGGCTCTGGAGGCTGAGGCAGGAGGATGGTAGAGTTCAAAGCCAGCCTCAGAAACTTAGTGAGGCCCTAAGCAATTTAGCAAGATCCCGTCTCAAAATAAAAATAAAAAGGGCTGGGGCTGGGGCTGAGTGGTTAGCACCCCTGAGTTCAATCTGTGGTACCAAAAAAAAAAAAAAAGAAAGAAAAAAAAGAAACATAAGAACTAAAAACAAGAAGGTACCAAGTTCCAAAAAAGAAAAAAAAAAAAAAAGAAAGAAACATAAGAACTAAAAACAAGAAGGTACCAAGTTCCTATACAAAAGCCAGTGAATTTGGGAAGGAGTAGAAGAAGAAAGATCCTAGGGGTAAAAAGATCATGGCAGGGGCTTAAATGTCTTCTTTTTAAATATTTTTTTCGTTCATTGAAATTCAGGAGGTTTCAGACTGGGAAACAATGTCCAAAAAGTTGGATGGAAGAAAGGAAACTCTGTGTGTGTGTGTGTGTCAGTGTGTGCACACATGTGTGTGTGCATGTATGATCATGAACATCTTGCAGAACTCAGCAGTTGGGATTCCATTTCCTATAGTCCTCTCAAATCCTTCATATCCACCTAACATCTGTTAGTCCTATGGCATCTCAAGGCAATACAAGGAATTCATGTTCCAGGCACAAATATCAATCAACTTCAATCCTAATATGAAGAAAATAAGAAATCCTAGCTTGATTTTTAGGATTTAGAAATCCTAGTGTGATTTCTTGATTTTTCATGCTGACTTTTATATGTTTTGATAGTCATGTTTTCTTTTTTTGAGTAGAATCATGTCACAGAGAACACTTTATTATGAATTAAACTGTATTAACATCCCTTGGAGAAATCCAGAGAGGCAATTTCTCTATAGCACTTAAGTAGAACATGTAGCCCCTAATTTTTATAACTTCCTATTTTAAGAAAAGATTAAAGAATTTTGATTCTTATTTTCAAATAGATAAAAATTTCTATGAAAGGAATACTCCATGATTTGAAATTCTTGATAGAATTTAAACTTCAAATCATTCCACCTCTGTGATCGATGTTTCCTTTATGTCTTCCCTGAGCTAAGGCAGAATGCATTGGGCTCTATTAATTAGATGTGAAATCTTTGTTTTATGGTTTCTGATAATAATAGCCTGGTTTTCTGGACCTCATGGCAGCACTCCTACTCTCATTCTAATGTAGCTGCATCTGAGGACCTGAGCTGACTGCAGTCAATAGCAGAAGTGAGCAACGAGCTTGAAACATTTGCCCAACATTACAAATACCAATAAACAGGAGTACTGAGTCATAATGAAACACATTGCCACAGAAAATTGTGATATGACAGCTACTTAAATTATACAGTGTGACAATGAGAGATGAGGAGGGAAAAGAATAGGGTACAGAATATCTGGGAGTTGGAGATACTTCTATTTCTCTGAGGTATTCAGAGGAAGAAAGGGACCTACAGGGATTTTGTCCTTCCTTTCTTTCCTTACATTCCTTGCATCTGTGTCCACTGTTGGGTAAAGTGAACAGAGTTAAATTGGCTGCATTTTCAAGATGAGACTATTTTCTCTTAAGACCCTTTGGTTCAAGTCAGTATTGGAAAGGGTAAATATCTCCGTTAGATTTAATAACCATAGATAAGTTTTACTTTTGACATTCCTGAGGATTCTTGCTTGATTCTCTGGCTTCTTTTTCTCCACTTTTGTCATATTCTGCAGAACCAAATTTACATATCCAATTTTCAGAGTCTCTTGTCCTAGCATTGTTATTCTTTTGATCTTAAGGCAAGGTTTATATACTATTTTAGGATATGTGTGATGTTCCTAGTATTATGCTTGGGTCTGAACAGTTACCAAAATAACATATATTTTTTTTTTTTAAAAGATGTGTATCTGGGCTGGTTAAGACAGAAGTTTTTCAAACTGGCATTCCATTGGTGAATACCGCTAGAGAATGACGTGCTATATGCTGGAGGCTAAATGCCTGTTAAGAAAACTCTTTTTACACTTTTAAGTAATATGTTCAATGTGTTCTTCTTCAGCCTCCAGACACCTGTGAAATACCTCTAAAGTTAAAGCAATAGATCCAATCAATTTTAAATTTTATGAGTACTCTGTATTGTACTTTTCTTCAAGTCAATTATATTCATTACCTCAAATTGTTTACAAAAAAAGTGTCTGAAGAAAAATTTAGTAATGATATTAGAAAATATGAGACTGTTTAAAAACACATGAGTTTCTACTGTTTTGGAACATCCTGCATTTTATGTTCTGCTTTTATCACATAACATTATTTCTTCTTTTTAAAAATTTGTTCTAAGTAGTCATAATGACATTATCTCATTCCTGTTTTTTTCTAACACTAAATTATTTGAGGCAATTTTTAAAAATTATGAAATATTTATTAAAAAATTATTTTTAATAATTCTGCATTACTCTGCTTTGCTTAAATATTTTCACATTAGACAAAATTCTGTCTATGCCCAATTATTATGATCTATGAGCATATTTATATAAATTATTTTTATTAGGGTCATTTATATTATTTTATATTATAATCCCTAAAGTTAAGTTGGTTAATAAAAAATGACTAATTTAATAGCATTGGTATGTTATCAGTTATTCTTGATAGTTGAATAATACAGATGCTTTATATAAACCATGTTAATTTTGTCAGTTTAAGGAATTTGTTTTGTGCCTTAATAGTATTTTAATTTCAATTTAAAATATTACCTACAAAAAATGTGTGTCTGTGTGTATAAGGTAAAAATATCAACCTACAAAAAAATGAAAGAAAAGAAAAAATGAATCTGATTTAATTTGCTTGAGTCCTGTCTTTACCTCGCTTGTTACTTCTAGTTCTTGCAAGTTTTTTCCTACAATAATAATGAATATTACTAAAGTGATGCAGCTCTTAAGTGCTCTAGTTCATACACTCTCTGGGGGATAATATTTCTAAGTTAACACCTTTATACCTTCATGCTTTTTTTTTTTTTGCCACACACATGCATACACGCATACACACATACACGCACCCACACACAAATTTGCTGAGTACATAGAAAAGTAATTGCACTCTGGGTTGAAGGCTCTTCCAAATAGGAAGATTTTCAAGTGAAAGTGATACAGTAAAAATTTTCAATATATAGCCTCAGCAGTAGGAAGTAGTAAAAAGAAGTGCTCAAATGGCTCAGAATTATATGGGTACTGAAAATGACATAGTGCAGGAATGGAGTTTGTAAGTGGGCATCAATTAATCCTAGCTTTTCAGATGCTAATTGAAAAATCTGAGAAAAGCTTTATCCATTTCCGTGTTTTATTTGTTGCCATTCCCCCTCTGTCTGGGAAGGTCTCATTTGAGTTGAGACTGAGACCTGAATGACAGCCATATGAGAACCTAGGGGAAGGTATTGCAGACAGAGGGAAAAGCTATGCAAAGACCCTAGAGGAAGAATGCATTTGGCATGTTAAAGGAGCAGAAAGAAAGTGCATGGGGCTGGAACTTAGTAAGTGAGTAAATAGTTGGTAAGGGCCAGACTATGCAAGACTGTATACATAGTGAAAATTTTAGATTTTTAGGACCAAAACCTAAAGAAGAGAAAATAGAAATTATTTAGACATGGGAAATAACCACAAAAGCTTCTTGTACTTCCTATAGCATCTTTTCTGGGAGTGCAAAGAGGTTTCATGCCTTTCCTGACTTTATAATATTCCTATTATTTTCTGTTAAAAAATCCAATTAGTTAAAGGGAAATGGCTCAGTATAGCCTATGAATCCTTATTGTTCAGCAATCATTTTCCAGGAGTAGAATAAAAATGACATAAAAATGGGATGTCTGCTGGTATCATAATCACTACATCGAGTTGGAATTTTACTGCTTTCTTGGTTTCTGAATAAAAAGCACTGTTTCCTCCTAAAGAAATTATCAACTAATTCAATTCATATTCGAGTGATTAAGCTGTCGTTGGAAAATATTTAAAGTGTAATCATTCATTATGTTAACAGCAATTCTTACACCAAAATTAATCACCAAAATTAATCTTCTTGAATTTATCCTTTATGTATAGAGGTAATTCCCATAGGATATAAACTTTAAAAACTGTAAAACCATACAGAGTAAAGCATCTTTTATCTGTTCCTTTGGGGAGCATGACACATATAAGTGGTGTAACCAATTTAAATTTGCCTTAGTCTTCTTCTCTTGAGAATGTTTTTTTCTTGTCATATATAAGATTGATGAGGATTTGGAAAATGAGCTTGGTGAGAAAACACAAGTGTATTGCTATAGGATCAATCATAAGTTATGCATTCAGTGATGAGAAAGAGGACTGCCTCTGCAACAATGTTTGGTTTCTTTCTTTTCAGTACCTATCAGGTGTTCCATCTAATCAAGGAGGAAGTTGCAATGAAAGGTAGAGATGTAGCATTATCTTATCTCTCACACCAGAATATAATATAGACATAAAGGTCAATTGTAGGAAGCTGCTCCTCCTTGCAATCAATAGATCTCTAGAATTAGAAATTAAAAGAGGGATGAGTTATTTAGGTGGATGCTTGTTGTAGTCAGGTTGGGCTGGTAAAATAAAATCCCATAGCATGAGTGGCTTGAACAACAGGCATTTATTTATCTCTCACAATTCTGGAGGCTGGGAAGTCCAAGATCAAGGTACTTGTAAATTTAGTTCCCAATGGGTGCCACTTCCAGTTTACAGAGGGCTCCCTTTTTGTTGTGTCTTCATTTGGTGCAAAGAGAGCTTAGGTCTCTTATTTTAAGGGCACATAAGCCAATGGAACTCTACCTTCATTACTTCACATAAACCTAATTACCTCTTAAAGATTCCACCTTCCCAAGCCTTGCCATTGAGGGCTGGGGCTTAAACATAATGGATTTTGTGGAAGGTGGACCAAAACTTTCAGTCCTCCACAGCGGTAATGAGAGAGGTCTGAGGAATAATTATTCACCACGACAACAGAACCTCTTTAATTTGCTGCATCTTTCTCATCTTTCCTCATCATCTTCAATCTCCCCTTTAGAGCTTGCTTAAAGATTTCATCCGTGAGAATTTTCACTGGATTGGTCTGAGGAATAATTCTGGCTGGAGGTGGGAAGATGGATCAGCTTTAAACTTGTCAAGGTAAAGGGCTTAAAAGGAGTGAAACAAAATAACAAGGAGGAGGAAGCTGAGGGAAAGAAAAAAATGACATGACTCAAGGCTTGAAAAATAGATGAAGGATAGCAGGTACAGAGGAGAGGAAAGGCTGTAAGGAGAAGAAAATAGGTGCCAAAAAAGGAAATGAAGAGTGGGTGGACAACAGGAAAGGGGGAAAAAAGGGTGATTTTTATTTTTTTATTTTTTAGTTGTAGTTGGACACAATACCTTTATTTTATTTATTTATTTTATGTGGTGCTGAGGATCGAACCCAGGTTCTTCCATGTGATAGGTAAGCCACAACCTCCGGCCTCCAAAAGTGATATTTTAGAGGGAGGCTAATGAAAAATTTTAAAAATATTTATTTTTATGTGGTGCTGAGGATTGAACCCAGGACCTCACATGTACTAGACAGGCACACTACTACTGAGCCACAACCCCAGCCCTGAAAAATTTTTATTCTTCTATTGTTTCGGGAGTTGAGTGAGAAAGAATTTGCTCAATTTTTATCCTTTCATGCTTTTCAACTCCCTTACTGTGCATGTTGCCACAAGTGATGGATTTTCTGAATTCTTACAGGATTATTTCTAATAGCTGGATACAGACGTGTGGTGCCATCAATGAAGATGGTCTTCAAGCTTCCAGCTGTGAAGTTCCTTTGCAGTACATCTGTAAGAAGGTCAGACGTTGATGCAAGGCAGAACTGTACTGAATCTCAGATCTGTCATGTATATTTGAAAAGAGGGGAGTGGCCATTGGGCTTCTGGGCCAGCCATGAGAATATATTTAGTGAATGCAAAGCCTACTAACATAATGGTATTAGATGAAAGACTAATGTGGCCTCTAGAGATTGATACTGTACTGCTGGTTTCTCTTTGAGACAATTTAAGTATTATGTTAATAATAATACTTAATGATCATATTTAGGCAAATTTATAAAATAGATAAAAGTTTGCTTTTAGTAGTTTCACGCTGTCTGCTCATGCTGGTTCCCATATTCCCCACCTCTACCATCTCTGTCAAAGCTATACCTAGTCTTCTATCAAAGGCTGAATGGATCAAGAAATGTTGTATACCTACAGAGTGGAAAATTATTCAGCCATCAAAAGAATGAAATCCTATCATTTGTAGTAACATGGATGAGCCTGGAGGATATTATGTTAAGAGAAATAAATCAGACACAGAAAGACAAATACCTTATGTTCTCATGGGTGAAAACTAAAAAAGGTTGATCTCATATTTGTAGAAAGTAGAATAATGTACCAGAGGCTGTGAAGGGAGGAGGGTGGTAAAGTTTAGTTAACCATTAGATTGAGGAGTAATTTCTAGTGTTCCATAAAACAGTAGGTTGACTAGGTTAACAATAATTTATTGTGGATTTCAAAACAGCCAGAAGAGAGGACTTTGAATGTTTCTATGTGTTTGATATGATGGCTATGTTTATTAGCCTAAATTGATCATTATACATTTTATGCATGAATTGAAATATTACACTCTACCCTACAAATATGTATGATTAATATGTGTCAATTAAAAATAAAACCAAAGAAGACAAACTTTTCTGTGTTTTATTTATTATGAACTGATCTGAAGAAATCTCTGTAAATATGTATTATTGCTCATGTCCTAGAGAGGTTTTATGTTTTGATGGGTTACTGTGTTAACTTCCTCTTGAGCATATATTTTTTGTCCTAACGCTGACCCTTTGCAGATAAAATTATATTCTAAAGAATATTGCCAACTGTGAGAAAATACCCAGTGGAAAGTGGGTGAGAAGCTTTGTGTTTCTCAGCTCTTCACACTTACATAAAGACTGAGTCTGGTTTTTCTGAGCATTCATAGATGTGGTTGAATAATCCAAGGTGTGACTCTCTTTTCTATGCAGCTGATATGTGATTTGTGTATTAATTTCATGACAGTTGTTAATCTAATAAGGCATTTTCATAGATGAACGTTTATAGAAGCAGTTTATTTTTTTATTTTTTTTAAAGAGAGAGTGAGAGAGGAGAGAGAGAGAGAGAGAGAGAGAGAGAGAGAGAGAGAGAGAGAGAATTTTTAATATTTATTTTCTAGTTCTCGGCGGACACAACATCTTTGTTGGTATGTGGTGCTAAGGATCGAACCCGGGCCGCACGCATGCCAGGGGAGCGCGATACTGCCTGAGCCACATTCCCAGCCCCCCAGAAGCAGTTTATATGGTTGGGTTTCCAAATTTTTTTAGGCACTAATGCAGCAAAAATGAGAAAACTTCATTATTTCTCCATAGTGGAGTCTGGACCTACATAAGGAGAAAAGGTGCTGTTTAAAGATACAAGAGACATTACTTAAATAGGCCAAAATTCTGTGATGTTTTTACCAGATTGTCATTTGTTTTGTTTCTTTCATCATTCATACTTTTTTATAAAAATATTTTTTAATTATAGATGGACACAATATCTTTATTTTTGTTTATTTATTTTTATGTGATGCTGAAGATTGAACCCAGGACCTCATGCGGGTGAGGCAGGCACTCTAGCACTGAGCTATAACTCCAGCCCCTTGTACTTTTTTTTTTTTTTTCTACCACTGCATCTCAAACACCTAAGATAGTGCTTACATTCAGTGAATATTAAATAAATACATGGATGAATAAAAGAAATAAACTTAAAAATATCCTAGCTGTTTTTTTGTTAACCCATCAGTTAGAAGTATTAAAGGCAAGAAAAACAGGATATCCTAATCCTCTCTTAACTACCCATTAACTAGGTCAGTAGCTGACTCTAAAAAGGCAAAGGGTAAAATTAATCTGGATATTATGCTCACAGAAAGAAGTAGTAGAAACAAGCTGCTTATAACCTCTTAACTTTGGTTCTGGAGCAAGGGTGTCCCTGATTTATGGATATGATCGTAATSACATCAACTTTGTTAAGGATGTAATGATAGTGATTTCATTTGGGCCACTGCTTGGTTGCCACAGGCTGCATGAATGAAGGGGCATTGGTAAGCCTTTAGATTCTCACCTGAGCAGGCAGGATATATGTGCTTTCCTTTGTAAGGTAAGCTCAGACTTCTTGTAAGCTTTTCTTAGCTGGTGTGAGGATTGGGTTGTATTCATCACTGCTTAGTCTTCATTAAGGATGTTACAATAGAATTAGCAGTTGTTTATTTATTCCTTAGACTTATTACTTAGGAGCTAAGTTTAGTTATTGACTCAGCTCCTTTACTTTGCCTGGTGTAATAAAGTTTGGTAAAAACTAGTAACTGAATATTTTCTCTCAGGATCTAAATTTCACAGTTGATTCCTTTGATGAACATCATAAATAAACATATCTAGGATGTGCAATATTTAGAATAAAACATTATTAAGACAGTAACACAGCAGTAACAAAATGGGAATGAAGAAAATCCAGAGAGGGGAAAAAACCTCTATGGAGGCTACTCATATATCTAAGGCTCAGTAGGGAAAGATTAGATAATCCTTTTAATATAGCAAGAACCTAAGCTCTTGTCCTTTTCATCTTTTGTTATTTTATTTTACTTTAATAAATTTTTTTTTAAGAGAGAGAGAGAGAATTTTTAATATTTATTTTTTAGTTCTCGGCGGACACAACATCTTTGTTGGTATGTGGTGCTGAGGATCGAACCCGGGCCGCACGCATGGCGAGCGCGCTATCGCTTGAGCCACATCCCCAGCCCTAATAAATGTTTTTTGGACCTTGAGTACAGCCACTAGAGTTAATCAATCAAACTCCTCATTTTGTGAAGTCAGCTTCTTTCCTAATCCATATATGTGTCTCTCAGGGTCTGTTTATCTTTCCGCTTCTTTCTGTATACCCACATCCATTCACCTTTCTTTTTTTTTTTTTTTAAATATTTATTTATTTATTTAGTTCTCGGCGGACACAACATCTTTGTTGGTATGTGGTGCTGAGGATCGAACCCGAACCCGGGCCGCACGCATGCCAGGCGAGCGCGCTACCGCTTGAGCCACATCCCCAGCCCCCATTCACCTTTCTTGCAAAGGAGCACACTTTGCTGTTAGATTCCTTAAGCGTGCTTGTTTCCTTATGAAACAGTTTTCATCTTCATTTGTTTCATATTTAATTAAATGATTTTAAATATATCTCACTGTTTTCTTTTTTCACCAGTGTTAAGTTTTTGAAATCTATCCATGTTGCTCTATGTGCTTGTAATTTATCCTTTTATCTGGTGTGTAGTATATCCATTTGATGGATCCATTCTCTCAATGACAGACATTCAGTTTGCCTTTGTTTCTCTATTTCCAAAAATGCAGGGATGAATATCCTCTACATATTCCTACTCCCAACTCTTCCTCCACCTCAAGCAATGGTCCTACAGTCTACTCTGTTATTTAGATAATAAACTAGAGAGTTTACTGATTGATTCTTCCTTTTCTTCCTTTCCTTCCCACTCTGTTCATTCATTTATCCTTTTTCTCTCCCTTTCCCCTCTCCCTCCCTCTCCATCCTCCCTCCCTTCCTTCTCTTTCTTTCTCTTCTCTCCCTCCCTCCCTCTCCCGCTCCTTTTTCTTTCTGTCTTTCCCCTCCCTCCTTTCTTTCTTCCTTCTTTTTCTTTCTGTCCCAGGAAGCCTGTTGCACTGAGCTACAAACCCACCATTAAAAAAAAAAAAGATAATTTGGAAACAGGGTCTCACTAAGTTGTTCAGGCTGGCCTCAAACTTGTGATTCTCCTCCCTCAGCCTCTGAGTTGCTGGGAATGACAGGAGTGCACCACAGCGCCAGACTCTTTCTCTTTTTAAAAATTCACTGTATCAGCAAATTTTCTTGTGTATACCACGAAAGTACGTTTTAATTTTACCACTTTTCTCCATCTCCACTTTTAACTCTAGTCCAAACCACTGTGTGGTTCACCTGGATTACAGTGACAGTTTCATAATCACTCCCACCTGTAAAAACACACACACACACACACACACAAAAAAAAAAAAAAAAAAAAAAAAACCAAAACAGTTCTGTTGAGGTACATTTGACATACAGTTAAGTGGAACATTTTATTATATATAATTTATTTTATATACAATTTTATTAATTTTAATATATATATCTCTCTGTGAAATCATCAACACAATCAAGATAGTGAATGTGTCAATTACTCACAATGGGTTCCTTGTGATATTTTGTATTTCTTTTCTTTCTCCTTCTGTCCCCTAGTTCTTCCATTTTCCTAGGAAATTTCCATTCTAATTTATGTCACCATATATGAAATTGTATATTCTGAAGTTTTATAGTATGTAGAGAAACATTCAGTATGTACTCATTTTTTTACAAATTTTATGATTCATCCTTGTATTTATCAATATTTTAGATTTTTATTGCTAATAATCTATTGTATGGATTTATCATATCATATTAATTGTTCAATTATTTATGAAAATTTAGTTGTGTCTACTAAAACAGTTTTATAGCTATTGTGAACATTTGGGTACAAGTCTTTGTATGGACATAGACCTTGTTTTCTCTTTGGCAAATAACCTAAGAGGTGGGATAACTGGATTAAATATAGGTGTACATTTTATTCTATTTTTTCTTTATAAGTTGATATTATTTAAAAATGACTGATCATAATTGTATTCACTTATGGAGTACAATATTTTTATATTATTAAGCTTGTTTTTAATGCAGCTCTTATCTTGACATTAAATGCAAATGTCCTGACAGCCAACTGTTTCAATAATCCATATCACATTGGCTTTCCTTCAGTTTCTCAAGTGCATTTTGCTCCTTCTCACCACAGGGCCTTTGCATCTTCCATTTTCATTGGACATTCTTTGTCCTCTGCTACATGATTTAGACATTCATCTTTCAGTGGACAATAAAAACAAACTGCCAGTTCCTCCAAGGCAGCCTTTCTTGGGCTACAGTTGTATGCTCCCTGAACTTTGCTTTTCACACACTGTCACTTACATTTCCACAAATTATCTGCACTCTGGTAATTTCCTGTCTTACTCTTGCCCACTGTACATTAGAACTTGCATGCTCAGTTAGGACAAGTCTGTGTGGCTACCCCCAGTGGATAGCAGAGTGTCTGGTACACAGAAGGCACTCAGTTTTTGCAGAGGAACTAAGGAAGGAGAGGGCAGACTTACTATGGCATTGTTAAATATCTTCAGAAGGATAGCAGAAGCTGTAGGGGCCAGTGATGGTGGGCGGGGAATAATATAGCTCAGTGACAGTACTTTCCTAGCATGCATGATGTTTTGGGTTTGATTCCAAGCTCCACAAAAGAAAGAAAAAGATGGCAGCATAGTGCAGTGGTAGTATGCTATAGCTGGTAGTTCAGGGGAAAAATGGAAACTATCCTTATGGAAGTCTCCTTCTCTTTTCTTTCTTATAAAATAAACCTATGCAATGAAAGCCCAAGACAGTCTTTTTAATTTTACCCATAGTATAAGTATGGAGTGATATCTCACTGTGGGTTTCATTACCATTTCCTTAAAAAAAAAGCTTTACTGAGAATGCAC